GGGGGTTAACCCGGCATGCCTCGCGCGGAGTCACCCTGCGGGGAGGCGGCCTGGGCCTGGGCCTGGGCCTGGGCCGGGCCCTCTCCCACCCGCGTGCCGCGGCGCGAGTGAGGCCGTGTGACACCGGCCCTTGTCCTTGCCCTCGGCCACCTCCGGTCCTGCCTCTCCAGAGCGCGGGCGCCGAGGCGCGGCAGCCGTGCCACCGGTCTCAGAGGGCTGAGTGGATCTGCGGTGTGCGCCCAAGCCCCTTTCACAACAGGCCTTCAGGGAAGATGTCGCCGCAGGAGCTGAGTTGCTCTGCAGGCTTCCCACATGCCCACGGATGAGACACGAGCGCCTTTTTCTGAGAACCCTCATTTAGATAATGTCTCTGCAGATCTCATCTTTGTATTTCTGTCTTATTGTCAAACCTTTCTGCTAAGGAAAGCGTTTCATCCAGGAGTGCGGTCATTCCTACTTAAGGATGCAAAAAGCATTGGTTTGCTTGACGGCTTCCTGTGCACGTTGTGTGTGGCATTTTCCTCTTGAGAACAGAAATAAAGGTACATCTGATGGGACAAGGTGCGCTGTGTGTAAACCTGCTTGCTGCTGCAGTGTGTTTGCACAGGTCCTCTCGACACAAGCCCTTCTGTCCGAGTTGCAACTGACAGGCACGGACGTAGGTACCATTTCAGGTGGCAGCCGCAGACAGCTGGTGAGCTCAGCATTGAGGCGGGTAATAGGCTGGATTTATTCTGCCATTTGGTCCCAAAACATAAGAGGCATTTTTCATTCTCTCACAATTCTCCCAACTGTGGTTTTAAGAAACAATATCAAATGCTTATATGGACCCAAGAAAAGAATGTCAGTAACTGGCAATGCTGGGTGACCTGGGAGACTGCGTTGAGGTTGAAGGGCATGGCAGACCTTCTTCGTTCTGGGGGAATACAAAAAGCAATTATGTTTCTTTATGGAGCATGACAGCTGACAGAATAAAAGCCATAAACAGGTACAGCAGCCGCATAGAAAACTTGAGCAAAAGCTAACTCATAAGTAATAAGAGGAATTTCTCTTGCAACTGAAGAAAATTAAGAAGCTGAGGCGCTGACTAGATTACGGTTGTATGAGAGAAGCATAAAGCTGCCAGAAAACATAGAGCAGATGAGGGAACAAATTAGTGTGTTCTCGAGAAGGAGCTTGAGCTTGGAAAATATAAGCAAGGAATTTGGCACTTGCTCTTAGTTCCTCACGATCTTTAGCAATAAACAGGATCATACCAAATACATCTGATTCCCTTCTCTGTTGTTTTCCCAAATATTGGCTAGTTACCTGGGCCAGAGGGGCGAGAATAAAGTCTTTAACTGTGGATGCAGCTATATTGGAATGAAGGTGTACTGTGCCATTGTAGCATAGATCCATAGATCATTCTCCCTAAAAGAACAGCTTTACAAATCAAAGTAATTTTTACGACACTGTAACTAGTTCATAGCAGGGATTGGCGGCGTTTTGACTCCGCTGACTGCCTGCACACGAGACCTCGATAACCATGCTTGCAAATTGTGAAAATCATCATGTTAATCACTAAGGAAAGATGTTATTTCATGAGAGGAGCGGTACATGCTGGACCATGACCTTGCAGGACACCTCCCAGTCTTACAGGCAAAAGAAATTGGGCTGGAGGGAAGTATAACATGACGTTCCGTTGGGAAATGCAGTCTTGAAAATGAATGTTCTTGAATTAAAAAATAGTGCTTATTCCAGCATAACTCTTGATTGTGTGTAGATTTTGGTTTTGTTCCTCTTTCTCCTCAGCTCCTCCTAAGCCCTCTTCTTCTCATCGAGCTGCGATGTCTTGCCTTTCAGAGGTGCTGCAGGGTTGGAGGCGTCCTGGGCTCTGCGACTCGTTTGATGCTTAATGGCTCCATGACGCTGCCCTCCCAACGTGATCTGGCATGTCAGGTCTCCCCGTGTTTACTTTCCCCCAGCAGGCCTGCTCCACCTTTCTTCTGCCCAAAGCCACCCCTCGACAGGGGGGGCTTTTAATGTACATTTTGCCCAGCAGCTTCTACAGTGGAGGCCCAGCTTGGTTAGACTCTACTCACTGTCACGGTGTCATTGCCTAAAAATAAGAGGTAACAAATCTGCTGAAGAGATAATAAAAATAAACATTTTCTTATCCATGAATAACAGCAATCTTTGGATCATAATGAATATCTAAAAAAAAGTGCATTGTGATTAAATATTGCGAAGAGCGTAAGACAGTGTTCTCCAGCGTCATATGGTACATTATACAATTCACAGCCTATATTTCATAAATTATCAGTTTATTGTGTTGACAGAGCTGCCAGAAGCCAATCCTACTCAATATAATAAAGTTGTTCCTTTTCTGATCAACTTGTTTTAAATATTAAACAAGTTTAGTACGCTTCAGATGATACCTTCTACCTGCCTCTGAATCTTGTCGGAGTTGCTTAGCTGCAAAGCACCAAGTGACGCTCTTTTGTGTCACTGTAAATAGAGAAGCGAGACACTGAGGATTAAACATGTCACTGACTACATTGGAAAAGAGGTGATAATTTAAACCAGTGTCAGTCTGGAAATGACGATCTGACGGTAGACAGAACCCTTTAGGGAGAGGAAAACCTATCCTACCAGGGAGGCTGGACTGGGAGCTGAGCGTAAAACTCATTTCAGAGAGTTATTTGAAGTTAATGGTAGTGCAGCTGGGCAGGGATGGATCAACCCCTGTCGAAGGCAGTCTGTGTACCTCTGTCTTCGCAACCATTTCCCGCGATAGAATAACGTGTGCTGCTGGGCCCCCGCTTCCCACCAGCAACTCCGTTCCTGGGGCTCTGCCGGCATGGGCTGCTGTGGAGATTCAGTCCACTTTCTGGAAATATTGAGGGATTTGGGATGAAAACAAGCCAAAAATCTGGTTCCAAAAAAGTGCTTAAACTCATATGTGTATAAATAAATACAAAAATATATATGCATGTACATATATATGTATATTGTATAATACACAATAGTATATAATGTAATAATATGTTATATATACATACGCTGCGTATTCCTTTCCACCCAAAGATTTATGTCTTCAGAAGATCTTATTTACAGGGAACCCCTTCAGCAGTGCGGGGTGGAATAAGTAAGGTCTGTCTGGAATAGATAATTGCTCTGGCATAAGCAATGGCTCTGGCCCCCTTCCAGCAAACGTATATGGGTGGGCAAAAGGGTCACTGCTTCACGTATGTGATAATCCCATGGGGGGGTCTCGTAATTCAGTTCATTGCTGCGCTTCGCATGCATGCGATCACTCTGCAGAGGCAGCTTTCCTTTCTTTTGGGGTGTATGTTATGTATCAGCAAAGACAACCAGGAAGAAGGAAAATGTTGCATTAAAATAAGAACGGAACCTCGACTGCTTAAGCGCTTTAAGTTTGTTTTTTTTTTTAAGCCTAGTTCACCTTAAAGAATCTCAAAACCAACCACAAGGGAAAGATCTGTGAATTTTTGTAATGGAAAGCGGTAGCCTCTAGGGCCCAGAGGATATGCAGGGAGGCATTTTCTCTTGCTGGTGCAGCTGAGAGCGAGCGAGCGAGCGAGACCTGGAAATGAAAGTAAAGAGATCAGGAGGCACATGGAGGGAGCTGCAGGGGCAGCCGATCCAGAAGCAGAATGCTGCCTTCTATAATTAAATAGCACTTACTATTATTATTACTTCTAGTAATAATACATTAATAATATCTCTAGTAATACAATACCATTTATCAAGGAAAGTTTATACATAGTGTGGGGGGAAAAACCCAAGGAGAGGTGAGTCCTTTATTATTATTTTGGGGGGATTATTTTTGTCTTAAACCAATTCTGTATGTATGTGTGTTTGTGTATGTAGAAAGGGGTGGACTTGAGAAAAAAGAAAATCTGGATGTTGCTTCATTAGAGAGTAAAGGTTTCAGATAGTAACTGCATGGATTAAACGTTGTGTAATTGCAAATTAAAAAAAAAAAGTGGTGAAAAATAATATGGGCGAGATTTTGAAGCTAACCCCCTCTTCCGCCAAAAATGTGGGGTTTGCAAAAAAATAATTGTCAGAGATCCTAATCCCACCCCCTGGAAAAAATGTGGTAGTAGTCTAAAAGTAGATAGCTAGAAGAAAAGCCCCTGGGTTTATATGAAAAACTTAGTATTAATTGCGTTTGTGCCTGTTTGTGGTTTGTAGGTTTGAGAGCTGTGTTCAGATCCGTATTTAGGCTGCAGTTTCCCCCTCTTGTTTGGTATAAACCCCATGAAGCAGCAGAGAAGCCCTTGTGGAATAGCTTTTCAGATGCACCTTCTGTAGGGGCTTGTAAAGTTTATCAAATAAGAAGGTTGTGGGATTTTTTTTATTCTCTTTCTTCTTTTTTTTTCCAAATTCTTTAATGCTTTAGACAGTTTCCGGGTGGCAGGGGAGGTTTTGGGGGGCGGGGGAGGTTTTTTTTTTTTTTTTTTTTTTTTTTAAAGTCGCCTCCCAGACTCCTGGAGATGTGTGATTTTTATTTAAGCGGATGGGGGGTAGGGAAGAAGGAAGAGTATGTTTTGATTTGTTTTCCTTTTCCCGGGGAAGCCTGGATATCTCCTGCCGCGGGAAACCCCTCCCACCAGCACC